TGCCAGTTCTGTAATACGAACATTTTTTAAAACATCAAAGTTCATTTCTCTGTATTCTCTAGACTCCATTTCTTTCTCCACAGTAAAAACTGAGCAAAATATTCATTTGGTATCACTTCCATCTCCTGGGGTTCAACATAAAGATGACCTCCTTGACCTTTAAGAGGCCCTACCCTCTCTCTAGTTACCCTCTTGCTCTTAATGTATTTGTAGGATCTCTTTAGATAATCCTTAACCTTATCTGCCAATGCTGACTCCTCTCTGCCTTCCCAATTTCTCTCAAGAACGCCCCTGCACTCTTTATATTGATTAAGAGATTCAATTGAACTAAGTTGTCTATATCTGAAATGAGATCCTCTTTTACTATTGAGTAGAACCTCAATATCTTTATTCATCCATTGTCTCTTAATCTTACCAGCCTTACCCGACACTCTAACAGGAACAAAATGCCTCCAAACTCGTTATCACACGCTTGAACACCTCCAACTTGTCAGACGTCCTTTCACCAGTGAAGTCTACTCCAGTCAACTTTTGAAAATTCTTGTCTCATACCATTAAAATTTGCCTTACTCCAATTAAAAGCTGTAACTTTTATGGAAGGCTTATCCTTTTCCATACCATTTTGAAATTAATAGAATTATGATCGCTAGACCCAAAGTGTTCCCCCGCTTTTACTTCAGAAACCTGTCCTGCCTCATTGCCCAAAAGAAGGTCTAATTTTGCTCTTTTTCTAGTGGGAGCATCCATATATTGATAAGGAAAATTTTCCTGAACACATTTGACAAATTATTCACCATCCAAACCTTTAAAACTATGATAGCCCCAGTCAATGCCTGGAAAATTAAAATCCCCCATTATTAAAGCCTTATTATGCTTACATATATCTGAGATCTCCCTACATATTGGTTTCTCAATTCCCCTCTTACCATTGCAAGGCATATAGTAGAATCCCATCAAAGTGATCTTTCCTTTTATTATTTGTAATTTCTACCCATATATTTTCACTGGATGATTTTTCAGAAATATCTTCCCTAGTTACAGCAGTAATGTATGCTTTAATCAAAAATGCCACCGTGTCCCCCCTGCACCCGCAACTCCTTTCTTGCCTCTTCTTCTATCCTTCCTTGCCTCTTCTTCTATCCTTCCTATAGCGTCTAAAACTTGGATCATTGAGCTGCCAGTCTTGTCCATTTTTCAGTCAAGTTTCTGTAATAGCTACCATGTCCCAATCCGAATGTAAAATCTTACATAGGCCAGCACAACCAAGAGCTGGAGTATAATAGAAAATACTCTTTTATGTGTTAAAATGTGGAAACATGATGAAGTTTTATGAATACAACAACCATTCATATAGGGCTGCAATTACAGCCTCCTGCCATCAAATTTCCACTTCTGCGTGTTGGTCAGATAATGGAAATAGTCGAATAACTTCCCACTGGCTGCCCCTTTGTTGCAGGTAAATAGACTCTCTTGCTCCAAGTATTGGAGCCAGCAAACCAGTCAGAAGGAAACAAGACAAGAAGGGCTTTCTCACTCTGAATGCTACCCTCCAACCACTGTCAAAAGGAAAACTGGACAAAAGGTTTCAACTAACCTGCAAAAGCCAAGATTTCATTACCCAGAATTGACTATTGAACTATCAACTCTTCATGAACAACTAACCCAAAGAAACTGAAAAGTATATCTTTTAATGTTTCTCAGTTCTTGGACTGACTTCTTCTTCTTAAACTGTGCATGGTGTGTTATTCTTTCTTTTCCTGTTTAGTAACTAATAAACTCTCTTTTGTTAACCTCTTAGAGTCATCCGGCAAAGCCTTGGTAATTTGGCCAGGTTTTAAATTGGTTGATTCTGTATATGGAGAGATTTCTTATGAGGAGAGGTTGAGTAAGTTAGTCTTGTACTCTTTGGAGTTTAGAAGAATGACAGAGACTATATTGTTATACAAGATTCTCAGGGGGCTTGACAGGATTGATGTGGAGAGGTTTTCTCCCCTTCTGGGATCAGCTAATAGCAGAGGCATAATCTCAGTGTAAGGAGTTGCCCATTTAAGACACAGAGATGAGGAAGAATATTTTCTCAGAGAGGAGTAAATCTCTGGAATGCGTTACCACAGAGGGCTGTGAAGGTTAAGTCATTAAGTGTATTGAATGCTGAGATAGACAGATTTTTAATTTGTGAAGGAATGAAGGGTTAAGAGGAAAAGAGGAAAGCGCAGCTGAGTGGACAGATTATTAGATCGCCCACAATCTCATTGAATAGCTGAGTAGATCCACTGGCCTGAATACTCTACTTCTTCTCCCATGTATTATAATCTTATTCTCTCCTCAAAGGTTATCTAATCTCATTGTCTAATGTAACATCTCTGTTTGAAAAGGGAGGAAGACAACAGGAAAATATAGGCTGGTTAGCATGACCTCAGTTGTCGGTAAGATTTTAGAGACCATTATTAAGGCTGAGATTGTGGAGAACTTGGAAGTGCATGTAAAGCAGCACTGAGTCAGTATGGCTTCGTCAAGGGGAGGTCATGCCTGATAAATCGTTTAGAATTCTCTGAGAAGGTAACAAGTTAGACAAAAGGACAATCAGCGGATGTGATCTATTTACATTTCCAGAAGACCTTTGACAAGGTGCCACACAGGAGGCTGCTAAATAAGATAACAGCACATGGTGTGAAGGCAAGGTATTGGCATGGATAGGGCATTGGCTGACTGTCAGAAGGCAAAGATTAGGGATAAAGGAGTCTTTTTCAGGATGACAGCTAGTGACTATAGGAGTTCTGTGCAGGTCAGTGTTGGAAACACACTATTGATGTTATACATCAATGATCTGGACAAAAACAAAAGGCCATTTTGCTAAGTTTGCAGACAACACAAAAATTAGGTGGAGGAACAGTTAGTGTTAAGGAAGTGGGGGGGGTGCTACAGAAGGACATGGACAGGCTAAGAGAGTGGGAAAATAAATAGCAGAATACAATGTGGGAATGTATGAAGTTATGCACCTTGGTAGAAAAAAAGAGAGGTGTAAACTACTTCTTAAACAGGGAAAGGCTTTGGAAATCTGAAGCACAAATGGATTTGGGGGTGTTTTCTTCAGGATTCTCTTAAGGTTAACATGCAAGTTCAGTTGGCAGTTAGGAAAGAAAATGCAATGATAGCATTCATTTTAAAGAGGTCTAGAATACAAGAGCAGAGAGGTTTAAATAAGGCTCTGAACAGATCGTGTTTGGAACATCATGAGCAGGTTTGGGCACCGTATCTAAGGAAGGATACATGGTGTTGGAAGGGATCCAGAGGAGCTTTACAAAAATGATACCAGGGATGAAGGGCTTGTCACATGTGAAGCAGTTGAGGACTCTGACTCTACTCTGTGGCATTTAGAAGGGTGAAGGGGGACATCATTGAAACTTACAGAATACTGTAGGGCCTGGATAGAGTAGACGTGGAGAAGGTGTTTCTACTAGTAGGAGTGACTCGTACCAGCCTCAGAGTGAACAGATGACCCTTTACAACTGAGACGGGGAGGAATTTCTTCACCCAGAGGGTGGTAAATCTGTGAAACTCATTGCTGCAGAAGGCTGTGGAGGTTAAGTCATTGAGTATATTTAAGACATGATGCGGAGGTACCAGAGTTGGACTAGGACGGACAAGGCCAAAAACCACACGATACCAGGTTGTCATCCAACAGGTTTATTTGAAAACACAAGCTTTCAAATAAACCTGTTGGACTATAACCTGGTGTCGTGTGGTATTTAAGACAGATATGGATTTTTTTCTTAAATTAGTAAGAAGATAGAGGGTTATGGGGAGAAGGTAGGAGAATGGGGTTGAGAAACATAACAGACATGATCAAATTGGCCAAACAGCCTACTTGTTTTTCTTACGGTTTCTGCTTCCCACTGAAATTCATCATTCACACAGCCACTCAAAGGTTTTGACATCGTTTTTAAAGTGCTGTTCTCAGAACTGGGCACAATACTCCAGGTGAGAATATTGACTTAATGTTTAGCAGAACTTCTTTGCTTTTGTCCTCCATACCTCTACTTATGAAGGCCAAACTCAAAGATCAGCTGTGTTTTTTTAAAAAGAGCCTTATCAACATCTCCTGGTACCTTCAAGGTTTTTTTTAAATGTGAAATCCCAGTTTCTTATAGTCCTCTTTCCATTAAAGTTATATCATTTTGTAAAAAATGTTCTACCCCCTGATGTCTTTTGTCAGTTTTCTTAACTTCTATACTAGATATAAATTACAACTTAATTTTATTTCTAATTTGTTTCAATTTTAAGACTGAATCTAAGATTTCCCACATTCTGCAAGCTATGCAATACTTGGGTGTGAGCTCCCCTACCACACCTTTTGGCAAACTACTCACTCTAAATTTAAGATAAGTAGAAAACTAAGCATTTTTTCTTTTAAAAGGAAATCTAGAACATTTTATCTTTCCTCAACATAGCTTTAATGTGGGGAAGAAAAACAACTTACTCATTACCTGCTAAATAGCTCTCTGCTTTGTGTTGCTATCACTTGTCAGCTTTTATGATTTCTGGTAGGGGTCCTGTAGAGTTTAATTGGATCTAGGCTTTTACTGAGAAGTTCAGCTATCATCATTCACACCCAACTTTGGTTTGGTTGGCATATCCTTTCTCAACTACAAATTAGCAGCCCCAGGGATCACAGTAATATTTCAATAATTCATTAAGGAGAGGCAGCTTCTGCATGTAATTGCACAATTTAGTTGTGGTTTCATTGGCTTGATTCGTGTCACTTGTGATTCAATTCTCTACTTGCTCCTCCCTTAATCAGCTGTTTCCATTAATTTACTGATGTGGCAGGTAATGATTGTGTTAAGAGATTGCTGGTGGGTTGGAGTTTTAAAAACTTATGTTGTTTGTGAATTTTCCTTTTTGTCTTGTTGTTTTATCTCAGATTGTAGTTGGAAGTAATTTATCTTAGTTTGTAGCTCTTTTGGCTTTGCGTTGTACAAATTGTGCAGGATCTTTTCTTGGCATTTGACTTCTACTTGGTTTATGAGATGATATTAGACTATTATTCTTACCTTAGATTTTGATTCCTCTTTAATGAAGTTTTGTATAGATTATTGTTTGTGACCAACCTGCTAAACAATACAAGATGTTACTTTTGTAAAGAAACATGAGACTTGGTATATTCTTACTAAAGTATGGGACCCCTGTTAACACATCTTAAACATCTTTACTTCTATTGTAGTATGAAAATGGAGCTTATACTACCATAATATTTATGGTTATTTAGGCATACAATTGGAAAAGAAAAATGTGATTTCACAATACTCCAACTTTTGGTTTTAAGAATGTGCATTACTTGAGATTCACTTTTAAAATTTGAAAATGGGAGGGGAAGAAATCTGAGATTCAAGCAGTTCTGCTCTTTGATGCTAAGATGGAGTGTTTGGCAAGAGCACTTAAGTTCCCCAATTAATTTAGTTCCAGATACACCATTGTATATACAATATGTATTATAACTTCTGTTTCAGGAGTTCTAAGTTTTTATTTTGGCCCCTCACTTGATTTTCTTTGTATGTGGCCAGTTTTAAACTGTTGTCCCATGCACAATGCTTGACCTGATGGTCCTCTATATAAAATTGTTTCATTCCTCGTTGGAAATTAAGGGCAGCTGAAACAGCTTTTCCTAATCATATCATATATTTTACTCTTTTGATAGTTCTTTCAGATAAAGATGGCACACTACCAATGAACAATTCCTGGAGAATTTTGAACTTTGTATTCAGGGGACTTGAGCATTGCTGGCAAAGACTGCATTTGTCTGTGCCCAGCAGGTAAGCATTTGCCCATACTACACAAACTTTGACTTGAAGTTAATATTCTAAATGTGACAACACACTGCAATAACAACTTAATTACTGATTTTGTATTAGATCAGCTATGCTCCAAGTGATAGGTAGACTATTTGCTTTTAAAGGATTCATGGTATAAAAACTCTTAATCATTTCCAATAGCCTAATTGAGCAAACATTAGCAGCACTTGAGCAGATCTTGGAGGTTATACATTCAGAATCACACAGCACAGAAACAGGCTCTTTGATCCAACTCACCCACACTAACCATGTTCCCAGACTAAACTAGTCTGACTTGCCTGCATTTGGCCCCCATCCCTTTTCTGCTTTTCCTGCTCATGTACTTATCCAAATATCTTAACAGTTGTAACTGTACCTGTATCCAACACCTCCTCTGGCAGTTCATCCACACACACAACTTTTTTTTTTTAAAAAAAAAAGTTGCTACTCCTGTCCTTTTTTAAATCTTTCTTCTCTCACCTTAAATATCCCCCAGTTTTGAACTCCCCTTGCTATTCACTTTTTGTCTAGATCCTAGTTTTATAAACCTCTAAGATCATCACTCAACTTCCTACACTCCTGTTTTTTTTTAAAAAAAAGTCCTAGCCTATTTTTATAACTCAAACCTTCCATTCCTGGTAAATCTTTTCTGAACCCTCTCCCATTTAGTAATATCCTTCCTATAGTAGGGTGACCAGAATTGTACCCAGTACTCCGGAAGAGGCCTCAACAATAACATCCCAACTCCTATATTTAAGGATCTGAGCAATGAAGGTAAGCCCTGTCCACCTATGACACAAATTTCAAAGAATTAGTACCTGAATCCCTAGGGCTCTGACAACACTATCAAAGGCCCTACAATTAATTGTACAAGTCCTGCCCTTGTTTGGTGTTTTTTTTTAACCAAAATGCAATACTTCAATTTATCTGAATTAAACTCCATCTACCACTCCTCATCAGTCCATTCAGCCAGCTGATCAAGATCGCTTTGTAATCTTAGGTGACCACCTTCACTCTCCACTACTGGGACATCGAAGCATCTGGTTCTTTTTTATTTTTGTTTTGGTTACTAAAGCCGTACAATCACTAAGATGGATTCCTTAAATTCCACTTTTAAAAACTTAGAACCTAATTTTAAAGTAGTTCATAATTTTGCAATGTTATTGTTGTTATGCAATCCCCGCTATACCTGATCATGTTTATTGTCATGAACACACAATCATAGCATCCCCATGGTGCGGAAACAGGCCATTCAGCCCATCAAGTCTGCATTGACCCACCAGACCATCCCACCCTGATCCTATCCCCGTAACCTTGCATTTACCGTGGCTAACCCACCTAACCTGCACATAGTCAGAGATGTACAGCATGGAAACAGACTCTTCAGTCCAACTCATCCATGCTGACCAGATATCCTCCATTAATCTAGTCCATTTGCTAGCATTTGGCCCGTATCCCTCTTAAACCCTTCCTATTCACGTACCCATCCAGATGCCTTTTAAGTGTTGTACTAGCCTCTTCCACTTCCTCTGGCAGCTCGTTCCATACACGTACCATCATCTGCATGAAAACATTGCCCCCTTAGATCCTTCTTAAATCTTTTCCCCTCCCACCTTAAACCTATGCCCTCTAGTTTTGGATGAGAATAGACAAGGGAAAAGTCCTTGTCTATTTACTCCATGCCCTTCATGATCTTATGAACCTCTTATAAGGTCACTCGTCAGTCTTTGACGCTCCAGGAAAAATAGCCGCAGTCAATTCAGCCTCCTCCTATAGCTCAAACGCTGGCAACATCCTTGTAAAACTTTCTGGACTCTTTCAAGTTTCATAACATCCTTCCAATAGCAGAGAGACCAGAACTGCACACAGTATTCCAAAAGTGGCCTAGCCAATGTCCTGCACAGCTGCAACATGATCTGCCAACTCCTATACCCATTGTACTGACCAATAAAGGCAAGAATACCAAATGCCTTCTTCACTATGCTGACAACCTGTGACTCCTCTTTCAAGGAATTATGAACCTGCACTCCAAGGTCTCTTCGTTTACCAACACTCCCCAAGACATTATCATAAGTATACATCCTGCCCTGATTTGCCTTTCCAACATGCAGCTCCTCACATTTATCTCAATTAAACTCCATCTGCCACTTCTCGGTCCATTAGCCCAACTGATCAAGGCCCCATTGTACTCTGAGGTAACCTTCTTCACTGTCCACTGCAAATTTACTAACCATGCCTCCTATGTTCACATCTAAATTACTTATACAATTAACGAAAAGCAGTGGATCCACCACTGACCACTGACCACTGACCACTGACCACTGGCCACAGGCCTCCAGTCTAAAAAGCAACCCTCCACCACCACCACCACCCCCACCCCCCTCTGTCTTCTACCTTCCAACCAGTTCTGTATCCAAATGGCTAGTTCCCCCCGTATTCCATGTGATCTAACCTTGCTAACCAGTCTACTGTGCAGAACCTTGTCAAATGCCTTACTGAAGTCCATATAGATCATGTCACCACTCTGCCCTCATTAATGGTCTTTGTTATTTCTTCAAAAAACTCAATTGAGTTAGTCAGACACTATTTCCCACACACAAAGCCATGTTGACTATGCCTAAACAATCCTTGCCTTTCCAAATACATGTAAATCCTGTCCCTCAGAATCCCTTCCAACAACTTGCCCATCACTGATGTCAGGCTCACTGGTCTATGGTTCCCTGGCTTTTCCTCACTACTTTTCTTAGTGGCACAACGTTAGCCAATGTCCAGTCTTCCGAACCCTCACCTGTGGCTATTGATGATACAAATATCTCAGCAAGGGGCCCAGCAATCTCTTCCCTCACTTCCCACAGACTTCTATGGTATACCTGATCAGGTCCTGGGTGGACAAAGGTGAATAAGACATCCAGCACCAGCACCTTTGTAATATGAGATAACAAGGTGTAGAGCTGGATGAACACAGCAGGCCAAGCAGCATCAGAGGAGCAGGAAAGCTGACGTTTTGGGCCTAGGCCCTTCTTCAGAAA